AGGGGAAGGCCCTCTATGAGGTGGATGGATACAGTGACTGTGGTAATTGGGATGAGAGTGTCAGAGACCGTGCAATTGGCACAGGACAGAGCAGAGTTTAGGACTGTTGTACATAGGGCCGCTATGAATTGCAAGTGACTCGATGGCACAAACAACAAACACCACCACCAGCTGCCCAGCAGAAGGATGGACAATCTCCTCCTGTGCAATTTACTGTCTGTAAAAATCCCCCTGGAGGATCAGCCATGTGTGGGTTGTGGGTTTGGACTCTACCGCACACAACAACCAACGTTCCAAAGGGAAGATATGATCAGTGTCGGCAAGGGCGTAGAAGAACTGGAACACTCCTTCATAGCAGGAGTGTAAAATGTTACAACCACTTTGCAAATACAAAGGCAACTTCTTCAAAGATAAAGAACTACTATATAATCCATCACTCAGTTCCACATTACTAGTCCAAGAGAGTTGAAAGTTTACTTTTATACAAACATTCTTGCACAAATATTGGTAGTTGTTTAATTTGTAAGTAACCAAAATTGTAAACACCCCAAATGCTGGTCAGGAGATAACTGGGCAAACGTGTGTATCTATGCAATGAAATAACACTAAATATAAAAACGTAATAAAGTATTGATTCACATCACAATGTGGAACAACTTGACAATAATCATGCTGAGGTTAAAAAAAGGAAAATATAAAAAAAGTTTCATTTATATTAAATTGCAGAAAATGTAAACTAACCCAAGGTGGAAGAAAGTAGACCACTGGTTGCCTGGATACGACGAGAGAATGTCAAGTGAAGCTCTAATAAAACCTGCTAAATATAATAAATAATATGCATGAAAGAGAAGTTTAATTCTTGCAATGTATTTATTCTCTATTGATCAGATATGTGTGCTTACTATAGAATTGTATAAATATATGAACATGCAAGGAAGAAAACGAAAACCAGATGAGTTAATCAGGCCAAAAGAACAGCTTTTTTCCAAATATTTTATTTTGGTATTGGACACTATGGAAACACTTTGAGAACTTTCAGATTATAAAGTACACACTGCTAAGTAGCTTGCACTTTTTACTTCATCTATGTACCACATCATTAAGACTTCTTTCCTGGTGCAACTTTCAATAGCATCATGTATCATTGTTGGTTAAACCAGTGTCTTGTTCCCTCAGTAAGTTATTTCTCATTTCTGTTATTTTTAATAAAATGGTAGCAAACACCTTTGTAGGTACAATGTGAGCATTTCTATTTTATCAGCATAAGTTTTTAAAGATCAATTATTCATAAAATTAGTCAACCTCACCGTCTCTGACACACCTGACCCCCATTGTCACAGTCACCGTGTCAACCCATCTCATTCAGGGTTATCCTACCCTGAGTTTATGCTTTTCCTTTCCAAGCATGATATCCTTTTCCAAGGACTGGTCCCTCCTGACAACATGCCCAAAATATGTGAGACAGCGTTTCAAAATCCTTGCCTCCAAAGAGCAACCTGATTTTACCCTCTCCACGACAGACCTGTTTCCTTGGCACTCCAAGGTATGTTCAAGACTTTTCTCCAGTATAACAGCTCAAAGGCTTTGATCCCTCCTCTGTTATCCTTAGTCATTGTCCTGCTCTCAGATGCATAAAAGCTATTCAGAAGACTGGATCAGGACACCTTAGTCTTTAGACTGACATTATTACTCTTTACCACCCAGCAGAGATCCTTGACAGCAGATTTTTCAATGCAATTCATCTTTTGACCTCTTGACTGCTGGTTCCCAGGGTACTAATGTGTCTCTGAGTAAGATTAAATCATTAACATATTCAACCTTTTCTCCATCTATCACGATGCTACCTATTGTACTTGTGGTGAGGATTTTTGTTCCTCTGATGTTGAGATGCAATGCATATTGAGACTTCAGTCATTGATCTTTGCAGCAAATACTACAAGGCCTGCTCAATTTCAATGAGCAAGTTTGTGTCATCTACATAACACAGGTTGTTGATGTGTCTTCTTCCAATCCCGATACCATATTCTTGTTCATAAAGTTCAGCCTCTTGAATGTATGTTAGATGAAAAGGTATGGAGAAAATATAAATTTTTTACACACTCCTTTTTTGATTTTGCACCATACAGCATTCACTTGTTCTGTTCAGACAACGCACCATACAGCATTTACTTGTTCTGTTCAGACAACAGCTTTTTGCTCAAGGTATAGGTTTCACCCTGGAGAGGGTTAAACCAGGCTGCTCCTTAGAGGCAAGAATTCTGGGGCTTCATATGACACACTTTGGACATGTTGTAAGGAGGGATAGGTCCTTGTAGAGGGACATCATGCTTGGGAGGGTGGAGGGATGGCACAAGAGGGGAAGCCCCTCTATGAGATGGATTGATTCAGTGTCTGGGGTAATCGGGATGGGTGTGTCAGAGGCAGTGCAATTGGCGCAGGACAGAGCAGAATTTAGGGCTGTTGTACATAGAGGGTCGCTATGAGTCGCAAACGACTCGATGGTATGCAACAACAATAACAACAGGTTTCACATGAGGACCATCAAGAATTTTGGGATTACCATTCCTCTCAAAGCCAGCCACAATTTGTTGTGATCTAAACAGTCAACTGCTTTTGCATAAATTGATAAAACACAGAAATATCCTTTTGGCATGCATTACTTTTTCAACCAAGATCTTTCTGACAGCAGTGCCATGGTTCTCTAAATCCAACTTGTATTTCTGGAGGTTGTTCATTGATGAACTGGTCGGTTTTTTTATAATCTTCAGCAGTGTTTTGTTTGCATGTGGTATTAGTGATATTGTTCAATAATTTCCACATTCTATAAACCCTGTTCTACCCTGTGCCAATCTTATTGTCTCCCACAGACCTATCCTCACTACCTCAGTCACTGAATCAATCCATTTCATTAAGGGTCTTCCTCTCCTGCGCTGTTCCTCCACACTCCCAAGCATGATGTCCCTCTCCGAGGACTGGTCCCCACTTGCAACATATCCAAAGTGTGTCAGATAAAGCTTCAGAATCCTTGCCTCCGTGGAGCAGCTGGGCTTCACCCTCTCCAGGATGAATCTGTTCATTCTCTTAGCAGTTCATAGTATATTCAATACTTTTCTTCAGAACCACAGCTCAAAGGCACCAATTCTTCTATCATCCCTAGTTATTGTCCAGCTCTCTGATGCATAGCATACAATTGTGAAGACTATGGCCTGGATCAGGTGCACCTTAGAGTCCAAACTGACATCTTTGCATGTTAGTACTTTGAAGAGGTCTCTGACTGCAGACTTTTCCAATGTAATTAATCTTTTAATTTCTTGGCTGCTGGTGCCAAGAGTGCTGATTGTAGAGCCAAGCAAATTGAAGATGTCAACAATCTCAATCTCTTCACCATCCATCATAATATTGCCAATCAGCCCAGTGGTGAGAATCTTTGTTTTCTTGATATTGAGCTTCAATTAATATTGAAGGTTACAGTCCTTGACCTTCTGCAGCAAGCACTTCAGGTCCTCCTCAGTTTCAGTAAACAAGGTTGTGTCATCTGCATAACTCAAATTCTTGACGAGTCTTCCTCTAATCCTGATTCCACATGCCTCCTCATAAAGCCCAGCCTCCCAGATAATCTGGTCTGTGTAATGATTGAAAAGGTATGGAGATAGGACACATCCCTGGCATACACTCTTCTCAATTTTGGACCATGCAGTGTTTCCTTGCTCTGTCTGACCACTGCCTTCTGGTCCAAGTATACGTTTTGCATAAGTATAATCAAGTGTTCTGAGATTCCCATTCTTCTCAGAGTTAGCCAGGTTGTTATGATCAACCAGTCAAATATCATTGCATAGTTAATAAAACACAGACATTCCTCTGGTACTTCATGCTTTCAGTTAAGATTCATCTAAATTAGCTATTATATCCCTAGTACCATGGCCTCTTCTTAAACCAGCCTGCACGTCTGGCAATTCTCTGTCAATGTGCTCTGCCGACTGTTTTTGGATAATCTTCAGCAGAATCTTGCTTGCGTGTATTATTAAAAATATTGCTCAATAATTTCTGCACTCTGTCACATAATCTTTCTTTGAAGTGGGAACAAATATAGATGTGACTTGCAACAATTTTTCAATCAATTCATTTGTTGATGGACATTTCCGTTTCCCCCTTTTTCTTGCTATTGTGAATAACACTGCTATGAACATCAATGTACAAATCTCCATTTGTGTTTCGGTTGTATCTTCCTTGGGATATATTCCTAGCAGTAGAACAGCTGGGTCATATGGAATTTCTTTTTTCACCTTTTTTGAGGAAATGCCAAACTGCCTTCCAGAGTGGTTGTACCATTTTACTATCCCAACAACAGTGTATGAGAGTTCTAATCCCTCCATGTCCTCTCCAACATTTACTACTTACTATTATGTTAAACTCTGTCACTGCTACTGGAGTGAGGTGGCATTTCATCGTGGTTATTTTTTTCTTTTTAATTTTAATTGTGATTTTAATGAAAGTTTACAGAAAAGCTAAATTTTCATTCATTCACTGTTGCACAATTTCCTCCCTCCCCCCCCCCCTTATCCCTCTGCCTGTCCCAGTCCTCTTTGCAATGTACCTCTTATTCTGGACTTATAATGTCTAATCATACATTCCTTTCAAATATTTCTTTCCCTTATTTGTTCTAATACAGTGTTCATTATCTATCCATTGTTTTTCTATTCTCCTCTCAACCTGTCATATCTGTTTTATTTCATAACAGTGGTGTTGTGTAGTACTTGTCATTGTAGTTTTGATTTGTGTCTTTCTTCCTTCCTTCCTTCCTTCCTTCCTTCCTTCCTTCCTTCCTTCCATCCTTCCTCCCTCCGTCCCTCCCTCCCTCCCTCCCTCTCTCCCTTCCTTCCTTCGTTCCTTTTCTTTTGCTGAAAAAACATGTGGGTTTATTGTTGGACTTCAGTCCTAGAATAGGCCCACCTCATTTCACCAAGGGCTCGAGCTGACGTTAACATCACAGTGGGGGCTGCTCACGACAAGGCTGCTTTATTTTGCTTCTTCTTTTCATTTTCCTCTTTCTCCTTTTCAATCTCAGTGACATATTTCTCATTTTCTTCAGGATTTAAAATCTCGAGGGGCTGGTCACATCGCATGACCACCAGGTCGATGTTTTTGCCACCTGACCGGACCAACTCCTGGAGAGCCTTAACGACCAGCTTGATGGCCAGGTCGCCTGTCTCAACAGCCTCAACCGTGCAGTTCTTCTCAAGGAATTCCCGCACTGACTTGGCCCCTCGGCCAATAGCATTTGCCTTCCAGGCATGGTAGGTGCCCGAAGGATCGGTCACACACAGAGCCACGGGTGCCGGCCGCTCTGCCCTCCTTGTGGGCTTCAACTCCGACCGTATTCCCCGGCTCTGTCAGATCGATTTGCATCCTTCTTATTGCCAGTGAGTTTGAGCATTTCTTCATGTGCCTGTTGGCCATTGACTGTCTTCCATTACAGTTCAAGCCATGACATTTTTAAACATGTTGACAACAAATAAGGTAGATTAAAATAAAAAAAATGGTACCCTTGAATTGTGACATTGGTAAAGAATACTGAATATTCCCTGGGCTGTAAACAGAACTAACAAATCTGTCCTGGAAACTTTTTAGATACTATCTTGGCGCTTCTTAGAGGTAAAGAGGGTGAAACTTTCTCTCACACACTTAGGACATGTGGTCAGTAGGGTCCAGTCCTTGGACAAAGATATAGTTATGGGGAAAGTAGAGGGCCAGTGGGAGAAAGGAAGACGCTCAAGGAGCTAAATCAGCCTAGTGACTACAGTGATGAGTTTGAGTGTCAGTGAGGATTGGGAGGATGGCACAGGACAGGGCGAGATTATATTTATTGCTGAGAGAGTCACTATGAGTCATAGCTAATCAAAAGGATGACTCTTTGAGTCTCATTTCCAGTCAACCTTCTTAACCTCTCCCTTCCTGCTTTCTGGGTTTTATTCTCGGACAAACTTTACCCTTTCAGTGTGGTATATAGAGTCCTTGTGTGCTCACAATCATATACTTTGTGCTATTGTTTAACATATGCACCTGTATATTGTTTGAATGAAAGCTGAGCCACAAGAGTGAATTCAGAGGAAGACTAAGAACTATAGTCTTGAGATTCTATCAGTACCCCTTAGATCTATGAGGCTGGCCATTTTCACTGTGAGGGGTTTTTCTACATCTTTTTTATTCACTCTTCCAACTATCTTTTCTGTCACATCTTTTAGATGTACCACCAGTCGTAGCTGGGTACAATCTGGTATCTCTGGTTTCAGGGTTGCCAAGGTCAATATTCATATGTCAGTGAGTACTTTGGCCTCATTGTTTCATTGCATCTTTAATTCTATCTGTCTTCTTTGTTCCGAAAAAAGAAAGATCAGTAGTTTCATCTTGGATGATCACTCACAAGATTTTAATCTCACCTTCACTGTTCACCACAGTGAGATTTCTACAGGAGGCTATTATCTTTGTGGAATAAGTTATGCCAATTGACCTTGATATACCCCAAAACTCCCATGCCAAGACCCTAGAAAATTCTTGGGTATTTTTTTCCCTCCCTGCACCATTGTTTCATTCATGTAGATTTTTCCCCCACTTCCTCCCTCCACTCACCAAACTCTTCGACACTGTGACCTCCTCTCCCCGCACTCTCAGTGCCCCTGCCCCCTCCCTTTCTTTGCATCTTCCTGGTTATCTTTCTGTTTTGACAATAATGGTGTTAAATAGTATTTGTCCTTATCACCTGACCTAGTTCACTCAGCATAATGCTGTCTAGCTTATCCCATGTTAATAGCTAATCTTTTGGAAGGAGGTCAACAAGTTCTTTTTTTCAGGTGTCTGTAAGGATATTTGAACTTCCAGCCTCTCAGTTGGCAGTTGAGTATTTGACAGGCCAGACTTAGGGAAACCTGAAGTGGGTATCCTCCACACAAAGACAGGAGGTTCTGGGGAACGTTGATTTGCCTTTTAGGACTAACACTTTCTCAGCATTGATGCACATTGTACGCCCCAGAGTCCCCATCCTCACAGTCCTCCTTGGATGTAGTTACAGGATGGTGTGTGCCATGGACAGCAGCAAACAAGCTCCCACCCTGTCCTTTCAAGCTGTGCTATGCGTGTTCCTTCTTTCTGTAAAATACTTGAAAACTTCTGCAGCTTTTCTTTCTTTGGGGGCACTTCTCCACTGATAGATCCCATTTAGCAAATGTATCTGGCTTTTCCCTTGCAGATGAACGAGGCTGGGCACTTCTACAACTCTGATCACCCAGAGTCAGAGATTTAAAATGCGTCCTTGAATAGACGGACAGAAATTCCAGGCAGCACCACGTGAACCTCCCCATTATGTGAGCTCTGCAGTTATGACCGGAGCTGAGTGGAAACCATGAACCCACAGACTGCGGTGAAGAACAACCTTCTGTCGGAAAAGACATAAAAAGAGGAGTTCTGAATAATTTAAACACAGGAAACTCCCAGCTCCCCGCGAGCACAGTGTAATAAAAAGCGCAGACACATTTAAACAGGATAAAGTAGGCCTAGCGCTGCCCTTAGGTATACAAGCTCTGCTCCTGTTTTCTTTCATGCAAGCAAATGGGACTTGGACTCCTTGGCTCTCAGCTTGAGGACACTGGCAGGACCAGGACACTGAAGCTCTGATCGTGGCCCAGATGGCCTGTCAGGCACCACCAGGGTGACATCTCCAACTGTCTCTGTCCCCATGGCTGTGAGGATGGGTGAGCAGACTGGACTGGCCACGGGCACCTGCTGCTGTCATTACCTCTGTGTGCGGACTCAGGCTTGGCACCTGCCTGACCCCTGTGCCTTGTGTGTCTCCTCAGCCAGGTCTCAAGCGCAAGTTTAGACCAACCTGGATGAGGGAGAAACTCCATCCACAGCCTCAACCTTCACATCAACGTGGACCACCTTGTAGTGTTAGGAGTTGATTTCTTTGTGGAGAAATTGATCAAAGGGTAATGGAGGGAAAGACGACTTCTGTTCTTTAGACTTTGCCCAATTTCTCTCCTCAGTCTTCTCATTCTGGAGATTTGAAGCCTTAGATGTGGTGGTCCACCTCCAGAACCCTGGCTTCCTGCTGTGCTGTGTGTCTTAAAACAGATGTCCAGAAAAAGAGCTGCATAGTAAAGTGGTCTGGGGTAGGGGGAAAATGTATAACAATGAAAGAACTTTTTTCCCCCAAGGAAAAAAATAAACTAGTGGTGAGGGAGGCAGGGAGGGAAATGTGAAACAATGAATGAATGGCAATCCAAGTTCTTTATAAACTCATTAAAATCTCAATTTAATAAAAGTATTTTTTAAAAAAAAGATGACTTCACTCCACCCCGACTTGAAGTTTTCTGGAAGGCTTGCTGGCCTCCCAGATGGACCCTGATCTTTGACTCAATGTCCTTGAATGTGGACCACAGTTCCAGCTACCAGTAGCAGCCTCCTCATCCCACAACAGTGATGTGCATTCTTCTCCCCAGCCCTCCACCGCCAAGACAGAGGTCAAGGTGTGGACCCAGGCTCTATCCACCCGGGCCATCCCCTGGACTGCTGTTGATGCTAAGAGAAGCAATGCTAGAAACTGGAGACAGGATGTCAGTCTTACAAAGGTCAGTCACACTTGGTATCGCTCAGTGTCAGATTAGTGGTGACCCACCAGAAGAACACATTTTCTCCCAATGGAAAGGGTGTTTTGTGATCCCTGATGAGAAAATTGTATTATCCTGTATTTTCTCACCTGGACATGATGCACTGTAAGCTGTAAAGTCACAGGACAGGTGCCCTAAATAAGTAGTAACTCAGGCACCCTAAGATCAGAGACGAACAGGGCGTCTGAAGAAGTGTTACTTTGCACTTCTCCCCTTCAGTCATAAGAGTCTCTCTTTGTATCGAGAAGCTTCAATAAGGAAGAAATGGAGAGTGGAAAGCAGTTCTGTTGCCAAACTAGCCACACTTAACGAGATCACTGGCCACTTTGTAACCCTTGGCTACTCTCCTGGACATTCTTCTTATCAGTTGAAGTTCTACGACACAGTGCCCTCTGTATATACAATCTCTGAGGATGAGTCCTGACCACAGAGGCTCCAATAAGAGCCAGCACTGAATCAGTGTTATTATCCTTACCGGGCTAGCACACACACACAGCACGCTGGGTGTGAGGTCAGACTGCAGAAAGGATTCGGCCCAGCTCTCCCACTACGAGGGATATACCCGAAAAAACCGGAGATGTGACATAAACTGGAGTATGCACACTCATGTTTATTGTGACATTGTCCAAAATAATGGAGTGATAGAAACAGCTCAGGTGTCTGTAAACAAACGAATCCATAGAAAAACTGGCACGTTCTGTCAACGAACAATTGAGAGAAAAACTGTGCTACATTCACACAATGGAATATTGCACAACGTTGAAAAACAATGAGCTTGTATAACTCTAAATAAAATGGGGGGATCTGAAAAACATTGTGCTTATTGAAATATCTTAGTCACAAAAGGGCAAATACCTCATAAGAACTACTGTTTTAAAAATAAGAGAGTCAGGAGTGGGGGAGCAGGCAAAACGTGGATAGATAAAAAACACTGCACTGGAATAGCTGAAGGGAAGAATCTCTGAAAGGAATGGGTGATTAGGCCTTATATATGTGACAGTTAACAGATTGGGCTAACCTTGAGGAGAGTGGGAATCCCAGAACACTTGATTGTGCTTACGTAAAACCTATACTTGGCCCAGGAAACAGTCCTCAGAATGGAGCAGGGAAACACTGCATGGCTCAAAATCAAGAAGAGAGGGAATCAGGGATGCATCCTGTCTCCATACCTTTTCAATCTACATGCAGAAAAGATCATTCGGGAGACTGAGCTTTATAAGGAGGAATGTGGCGTCAGGACTGGAGGAAGACTTATCAAAAACCTGCATTATGCAGATTACACAACTCTGCTTGCTGAAATAGCAAAGGCCCTGAAGTGCTTACTGCAGAAGGTCAAGGACCATAGTCTTAAGTATGGATTGAAGCTCAACATCAAGAAGACAAAGATTCTCACCACTGGGCCAATTGGCAGCACCATAATAGATGGAGAAAAGATTGATGTTAAGAATTCAGCTTTCTCATCTCCACAATCAACACTCTTTACCACCAGCAGCTATAGTACATAGGGATATAATGAGTCGCAGGCAACTCGACGGGCACATAACAACAACAACAACAACATGACAATTAACAATCTGGAACAAGACATACATTTGAAAAGTGAATCAGAGAGGGGGAAGGAAAGAGAGAGAGGGAAATGTGGATCAAAGAATAAAGGAAAAGCCAACCTTTCTGTAAACTTTCACTAACATCACAAAAATACCAAACAAACAATCCACTCTGCTTATTGGTAAAAGACAATTACCTGTGTTAATCTTTAATGTTGGAAATTCTATTATTGCATTTAATAGAAAAAGAGTTAAGGCAAAAACATGGATTTCTGAACGGTGAATGGTATGGACAAGAGATAAGGAAGATTAAAAAGGAGTCTATGTCTTTGAACAGTGGTGTCAGTCAAGAGTATTGGGGAGGATATGAACATGTACGGCCAAGCACAATCAATAAGAGTGCATCTAAATTCCAAAATCAATCTCCATAATAGTCTATGTGTTTCCTACTGCCAAAGGGGCCCTTTAGAGTAGTGAGAGAAGATCTTCACCCTGAAACCCACAGCGTCCCTTTTCAGCAGGAAGTAGCTAAGAGAATACGCCATCCCCTTTTCCTTATGACTCAGGGTGAAGTCTCTCTCAGGGAGGAGTGATAGGGAATGGCAAAGGACACACTGACAAAGAAGATTAATCAGAACTGGCTTTGACAAGCACTGTGGCATTTGGACAAGAACAAACTGGGAGGAGGGTAGAGAGAATAGTGCAACAATGAATGAATGGAAACCCAAAATCTCTGTAAATGTTTATGAAAATTAATAAAATATAATTATAGAAAAAAAAGAGTATTGGGGGTTATGTGTATCTTGAAAAAGTACAGCCAGAGTGTTCCTTAGAAACAAGTGAGGGGGCACATATGTGGAGCTTGTTATCAAGAAGGGCCAGTATGTGGAGAAAGACATTATTCTTGCTAGAGAGGAGGGTCAGGAAAAGAGAGGAAGACCCTCAGCATGGTGAACTGACAAGGTGACTGCAGTGTGGCCCTCAGCCCAGCAGGTGGAGTGGACAGTGCAGGGTCAGAGTCCATGACTCCATACGTGGAATCACCATGAGATGAAGCAGATCGCACAGCACCTTATAACAACTTCTGTGGAATCTCTCAAGATTTCTAAAATAGAGAAGACTTTCAAGTTAAAGAGGATAAAGAAAAGGCAGAAATGAAAGCTATGCAGGGTCTTCTCCTGTCCACTTAGTAGGAAACAACATCACAACATGAGACCTCACAACATGCAGGCAGGTTCTGTGACCATCAGTCAGGTCCGGACAGAGAGGAGCCAAGGTGGACACGGCCAGGCCCAGGCTTCGTGGGTCACGGCCTTGAGATTCCCGTGAGAAACTGGTACCTTGAGAAGGAAAGTGACTTTGTTCAGGGATCCAGCTCTCAGGAAGTCACTGACATTTACCTAGAGGATTTTCGTACGCTTGATTACTTGCTGTGCATTAGAGTGTAATATTCAGAGTTTCTTCTGCCATCATCTTGGTCTTTTCTTCCTCTTCTGTCTTTGTAATAACCTTTTTTATTCTTCATAGTTGATATTCTTGATATCCTCACACAACTCATCTGATCTTCACTCATTAATATCCAAGGACTCCACCCTGTTCTGGGGAGGTTTTGAAATTCAGGCGGGATAGACTCAAGGTCAAATTTTGGTTCCTGTGAACTTGATTTAATTTTCCTTACCTTCAGCTTGAACTTGCATATGAGTAGTTGGGATCTGTTCCACAACCAGCATCTGGCCTAGTTTTCATAGCTGATACTGAGCTTCTCCAGTGACTTTCCACAGATGTAATCAATCTGATTCTTCGGCATACCATCAGGTGAAATCTATGTGTATAGCCCGCATTTATGTTTTTTTGCTGCACCTCCCATGACCCCTTCATCTGCACCCCTTCTCCTGCACTGCACCTGTCTCGTTTGGAGGCTAAGCTCCTCAAGACAGCCCAGCCCACTGGGCTCATGACCATCAGCAATTAGGCATCTCTCTACTGTTCTGCCTACTGCATTGAGTCTAAAGCTTAAAATCCAATTGTTCAGTGCTGTGTCTTTTATTGAATTAGATTTTCACTTCCCCTTTCTTAATTACATCCAGTGAATCACGCTTCTGTTACTGTATTTCTCGAGGAAGAAGTCTAAAATGTGGATCAGTGTCCACATCAAATTGAAACTGGAAAATAAAATATATGTATCACCTCACATAGGGTCCCATACCAGGTGACAAAGAAAACTGTCCCGGAAGCTGCTTGGGGATGGTAACTTGATTCCTGCTCTCTGTAAGCACACTGTATAAGTCTGCCCTTAAGGACTCAACTGGGCATCCAAAAAGAGTGTGGGTACCTGGGCCTCTGAACTTGTGGAATTCTGTGATGTTGTTCCTCTGGATATGATGGTGGGGAAAACAGAGGATCAGTGGAGAAGAGAAAGACCTTCACTGAGATGTACGGACCCAATACCTAGAACAAAGGCCTTGAGCTTGGTGGAAATGAGGAGGGTGGTGCCGAACAGTACAAGGTTTGGATTTAGTGTTCATGGGTCAAGGTCATATTTTTAATATTTTTTTTAATTTTATATTTATTTGCATACAAAATTAATATACCTTGAATTTCATTCCTATACTGTGTTTCACACATTTCTTCATTCACATTGTGTTTCAGAAGATCACTCCTATACATTTTATTTTTTTAAATTAATCAGCATTGACTTATGCCCACTATTATCTTGTCTTTCCTAATTCCTTCACTCCCACCCTCAGCCCATCAAACTATGAAACCTCGTGATTTTTTTCCCCACCTTCACCCTTAAGCTCCCCTTCCTCCCTCCCCTCCCCCCTTTGGACTTTTATATACATCTTAATAGTTATCCTTCTATTTTTACAATACTGATCTTATTTAGTATTTGTCCTTATGAGACTAAGTTCACTCAGCATAATGCTCTCCAGACTCTCCTATGTTATATAGTATTTTACAAAATTATTGTTCCTTAATGCCGCATAGCATTCTATTGTGTAAACGCACCATAATTCCTCAATCCCTTCATTTATTGATAGACATTTGGGCTGTTGTCATTTCCTCGCGATGGTGAATAATGCCGCTATGAACATAGGTGTACAAATCTTCATTTGTGTCTCAGTTCTATTTTTTATTCTTGGTTCTATTTTCCTTGGAGTACATTCTTAGCAGTAAAACAGTTGGGTCATGTAGGATGTCTATTTTCAGTTCTGTGAGGAAATGTCAAATTACCTTTCAGAGTGGTCATACCATTGCACAATCCCTCCAGTGTGTGAGAGTAGTTCAAGGTTGTTGGGGAATGTTGGGGAGGCTGGGGCAGATTGGCCAGCGCTCTGGATAACTGCAAGGCTGTCTGGCCCATATCAACTTTTAATACAAGATAGAGAAAGCTCTCCTGTGTTTGGCTGTACTAGCTGTGAAAACTTGACACCTGGGAAGATGGCTGCACATCCGTTGAGCTGGGAGTGGTCCGCACTGAGCTGAGGTTCTCCTGCCCAATCTGCATCCTCCACATCTACAAATCCACCCCACCCTGTCTTCCTGTTTACTTGCCTGTATAAAGTGTGCTGCAACCCCCCACTGAAGTTGAGTTTAGCTCTCTGCAGCACTCCCAGAGAGGTGTGCCTCCATCACACTTACCACCATCAGGGTGTCGCTGTTCCCTGTCAGCAAACAGACAGCAACACAAGGTCACCTAAGAACAGCAACAGCAATGCTCTCCTAAAACAGTTTTCTCTGTTATGCTAATGAAGCTTTGTCAGGGTAAGACGGGTCCTAAAACTCATTACTGCTGAGTTATAAGAAGAGAACTAATTGGGAGATGATAGATGCCTCATAAAGCTCATCAAGGTACCAACAATCTCTGAGGCTATGTGACTTGAAAGACAAGAGTTTTCCACCAGAACAGCTGAAAAGGGCCTTCCTCTACAGCGCTCTCACTCCTGTTCTCATTCTCACTCTCACTTTCTTGCTTTCTCTCATTGCCATTCGGTCAGAATCAACTCCACTCCACTGAGTGAAGCCAGGGTTATAAAGCCATGAATTACACAGGAGGAGATTGCTCTTCTGTCTTTCTCCTCTGGAGTCACTAATGGATTCACATCACTAGAGAAGAGCAGCCTTTAAGCTAGCAATGCACCTCCCTGTGGATCACCCCACAGGAGTCCCGTTCCTCATGCTTCTCCCAGCTGAAAGGCAAGAAAATAAATATCTGCTCCTTCAAGTCTCCCACTTTCATGTTACAGTACCACTGGAAATGAAAATAGCCATCATCACATTAAAAGCAATGTCATTTTTAAAAATTGTGGTTAAAATATACGTAACAAGATATTTGCCAAAACAATAATATTTATGGCTCAATGATTTTGATGACATGTTTTATCTTGTGCGTGTGTAAAAGATGTCTCTAATCCTTGTGCAGGAAACACGTAACAAGTGCATGATGGGAACGAATTTTCCTTGTCAGCTTACATCCCATTCTTACTGTAGGTGTGGGAGGAGAATGAAAAATTGATCATAGTATAAAAAAAATGCTTAAAAGGTGTGAATGAGAAAAGGGGATGGAAAACTACACCTGACATAAATTTTACTTAGTTTGCTCAACAATTTCAAGGTAATACATGTGATTAACATACTTGTATGCTGGTAGAAATTTAAAACTTGACATATAACAGAAGGATACAGAAGAGAAAAAAAAGTAATAGCATAGCAAGCCTTATTATGTTACAGGAAAATTTCCACTTATGTAGAAATTCAAGAGCTATTAAATATCAAATTGTCTAGTGTATATTGTTATTTTTATTATGTGTTCAAGCCACCTGAGACTTATAGTGACCCCTATGTTCAACAGCTCTGAAGCCTGCCTTGTCCTGAGCCAGTCTCACTGACTACAAAAAACCTACCCTCAATGCCCCAGTTACTATATCAATCCATCTCATCAGGAGTCTTCCTCTCCTTGCTGTCCCTCTACCCTTCCAAACATGAAGTCCTTCTCCAAGGACCAGGATCTCCTGGCCACGTGTCCAAAGTATGTAGGATGGAACTTCTAAATTCTAGCCTCCAAGGAGAGACTTGGCTTCACCCTCTCCAAGACAGATTTATTTCTTTTCTTGGCAGTCCATGGTGTATGTCCAAGACTCTTCTCCAGCACCACAACTCAAAGGCATCAATTCTTCTGTCCTCTTTAGTCATTGTCCGACTCACCGATGCATAACAAGAAATTGAGAAGACAACCTGACTCAGGTACACTTTAGTCTCTAGACTGACATCTTTGTTTTTTCAGTATTCTGAAGAGGTCCCAGACAGCAGATTTTCCCAATGCAATTTGATTTTTGATTTCCGGACTGCTGGTGCCTCAAGAGTACTGATTGTGCAGCCGAGCAAGCAGAAATTGTTAACACATTCAATCTCTTCTCCATCTATCATGGTGCTGCCAGTTGGCCCAAGGCATATAAAGAAGGACGGTAACATGCTATGTTAGAACCAGGTTCTTTATAGCATGAGAGACAGGGGGAAAGGAAACTGTAACATGACCTTAATAGCTTCAGTTTTACTTTACGAGTTCAATAAAATATGAATACACACGGGCAGTTTGTTGTTAGTTACCATATACTTAGTTCTTCAGTGACATTGTCATTGTTATTAGGTGCTGTCGAATCGAGTACAACTCACAACAAACCTAGGAACAGCCGACCTGCCCCTTTCCCTGTCCTGTGCCATTCTAATCATCTCTGACACACCAGAGCCCATAGTGAAAGTCACTCAGTCAATCCCACATTGACACGACTGAGGCTCTTCCTCTCCTTTGCCGACCCTCAATCTTTTCAAGCATGAGGTCTCTTTCTAAGGAACAATATCGCCTAACTACATGTCCAGATTACGACAGACCAAGCTTTGGCATCTTTGCTTCCAAGGAGCACTCTGGCTGCACTTTTTCAAGACATATGTTTGTTCTTTTGACAATCCAGTACACTTCTCCAGCACCATAAGTCAAAGGCATCAATTCTTTGCCTGTCTCCTTATTCATTGTCCTGCTCTCTGATGTGTAACAGGTGATTGAGAAGATGACCGTGGCCTGAATCAGGCATATCTTATTCTACCAACTAACATCATTGCTTTTAGTCAGCTGGAGTGGTCTCCAACAGCTGACATACCCAATGCAATATATCTCACAATTTCCTGACTGCTAGTATGAAGAGTATTGATTGTTGATTCAAGTAAGTTTAAATCATTGACAGCTTCAATCTTTTATCTATCTATCTATCTATTTATCTATCTATCTATCTATCTATCTATCTATCTATCACAATGACGACTGTTGGTCTTGTGGTGAGACTCTTTGTTTTCTTGATGTTGAAAACATGCTCAAGGAAAGTAGGAAAATTGGAAATTATAAAAAAATGAAGTGGAATGCATGAAGACTGATGTTCTAGCCATCAGTTAACTGAGATGGACAAGCATAGGCTACTTTGAATCAGACTGTCACATGGTCTACTATGCTGGGAATGAAAAACTGAGGGGAAATTGTGTTGCTTTTGTAATTAAAAGGGCAATTTCAAGATCCATCCTGAAGTACAGTGCTGTGCGTGATCAGATACTAAGCATACACATACTAGGAAGACCTGTTAATATGACTAGTAGTCACATATATGCACCAACAACTAAAGCCAAAGAGAAAGACCTGTTAATATGACTATATCCAACAACAACTAAAGCCAAAAAGGAAGACATTGAGAGTTTCTACCAACTTTTGCAGTCCAACCATGCAATCAAGATGCAGTAACAATTACTTGGGACTGGAACACAAAAATCAAAACAATGCAAAAGGAATGGTAGTTGGAAAGTATGGACTTGGTGACAGATAGGAGGTGACAGATCAAATGAATGAATTTTGTGGACTTTATTTATTCACAGTAAATATCTTTAAAAAAACCCAGCTACACAAATGGCAACTTTGCCCATGAATCTCACTTGATGGACTGCACAGAAATCAGATTGATTATATTTGTAGAATCATTGGAGAAATACAGTATCAGTGGTTAAAACCGGGCAAGGCAATTACAAAATGAAACATGGTTTTGTCTTGAATCAAACCTGTATTGTTAAATTTTAATTTACTTTTGAAGCCACTGTGTCAATCTATCTCTTTGATAAATTTATCAATGCCATCCTTCAAATACGTCAATACTTGAGTCTTCCTTATTCATTGTTTAGCATTCTCATCCATATGAAATTGCTTAAAAGACATAGCTAGAATCAGGTGCCTATTGATCCACAGTGAGACTGTGTTAAGAACAATTTATGAAATGCTCAGCAAGAGCCTATATACTCATCTGTACAACACAACACACTGAACAGCAATATCCGACTTAACACAGTGCTGGTCAGGTGAGTAGCTAGCCTTGTAACCACATAAAACTCACTGATGCTTGTGCTGTGGAAGTTGCACAACTCTGTGTACAATTCTCCAAGGGGAGGAGGCTCTGAGTATCTGAGACTTACCCACAGGAATATCAGCAATATAAGAGTATCGCTGTCAGTCCACCAGCAAATTAACAGCGACAACCTGATGGGAGTAAACACTATGGAGACGCCACTCTAGGAGAGGATCAGAGAGGCAATCCAGCTCAACTTTGTTAGGGTAAGCACTACACTTATATACACAGGAAGACAGGCTAGGGTGGGCTTACAGACATGGGCCATGTGGATTGGATAGGAGGATCTCAGCCTCCTGCAGAGCACTCCCAGCTCAACAGATGGCAGCTGTCTTCGCAGGTGGTGAGCTTTCTCAAGCCGGCACAGCCAAACACAGGGGAACTCTCTTCACCCCGTATTAAAGGTCCTTGGGAGGCTTGCACCTGTCTGGAGCTCAGGTGAACTGTCCTGGCCAGAGAGGCCTTCCCAACATTCTGCATCATAAAAGAAGATCTCATTTTGTTCTGTTCTAATTTACACCTTAGCTAGTGCTACCATGACAGTTCTGGTAGCCTTGTGGTAAAAAGCAGCACTGGAATCCCTAAGACACACAGTTCAAACTCACCAACTGTTTAGCAGGAGGGTGGACAATCTCCCTCTGTGTGAATAGCTGCTTCTGAAAACCCACTAAAGGGTAAACTATGAGTCAATTCTGATTCAAAGGCACAAACAACAACAACATTTTCTTTTTCGTTAAAGAGAAACTGGTTTTAGCTAGTTAATTTGCTAACAAATTAAAAGTTTGTGGCAACCCTGCATCACGTAAGTCTATCAAGAACAGCTCTCCAACAACATGTATGTATGTATTCCAGGTCTCACTATTCTGTTTGGTCCAACGTCACAATATTTAAGATTTTTTTTTTCTTGGAACAAGGAATATCAGTCAGT